TTCTTTTAGTTAGCTCGGACCAAAGGTCCTAGCTTCTTTTTTTTTTCCTTTCGCTTTGTAAAGTTCTCCTTTTCTATTCAATGAAATTGGCGCTCGTCGATTCGTTAAAAAAAATCACCCAAAATTAAATAATTGAATATTAAGGAGGCCAGGGGGGTAAACAGCCTTGAGCCCTTCACTGGGATTATTCGCTCCATTTAAATACCAGGGAACCTACAAAAGTTAATGCACTAACCACAATCAAAATCCTACTTACTATTAGAAGTTTCTAGAAGCCAAAAAAGGCCGTCATCAAATATCAGACAAAATGCATATATAATTTCTCAAGCCTGGAGAATATGAAAATCTGATTCCACAAGCAAGTACCACACTAATTACTTTATCTTCAGAAACAATTAACCGGACCTGAAGATATATACAAGCTGACATACAGATCTGCAACTGCAAGCACAGAGTGACTGAGAGTGAGAGCTGTCTCACAACACCCTGAAAGCAACAGCTTGGAAATTACGTTGATCAAACCTACATATCATGGAATTGTTTTATCGCCCGGATGGACCGAGACAGAGGAGGAAGGTAGAGCTGGGTGACGACTGACATGCATGCTAACGTTTCTCGTTGCGTGCATGGGGAAGCTACGTCTATAGGCTTTGCTTGCTGCCGACCCCACGTCGATCGCGCCCATGGAGCACGTAGAATTCGTCGGTATATCAACTCTCCCTCGCGGAAACGACCATAGGGAGAGAAGAAGGATTTCCATGGCGTTGGCTAAACAGTAAGAACCCGTTTGATTCAAAGAAAATTCATAGAAATTTTAGATGGTCTTATTTCTATAGAAAATTCTCCTACATAGCTCTTTAAATCAAATGAATGAACCATATGGAGTCCTATGAAATTTCTATGGAATGTCTCATCCCATGCAAGTTTTAAAGAAATTTAACATGGGGTAAAACCTCATAGAAAGAATCCTTCGAGTCTTTATCTTTCCTTAAATTCCTGTGTTTTTTCTGTGATCCAATCAATCTATCATTCTAATATTTTAGTTTCCTGTGTTTTGCAATATTTGTTTTACGCTTTCATATTTTTTTTGTTAGAATCATATGTTTTTTTCTATTCTTTTTTTTATTCATGTGATTTAAAGAGCCCTAAATCAGCGACACAAGGAGCAGATCAGATCATAGAGTTCAGACAATATGTGCCCTGCAGGCAGAGTTTCAACGGTAGCGAATTGAATCTGGAATGAGAATTACCAATATTCAACATATACTAATTATCTAATTATTATTTGATATACTAATTAACATGATATAAATGATTTAGAATTAAATAAATAATCCGGGGTTCAGTAACCCTGGTAGTTCTACTCCATACAAAGAAACATCTCTATTGCTTCTAGAGTACTGGCGACAACTAGCAATAATGTCGAAAAAACCCCAAGGGATCATGTGTCACATTTTTCCATTAAGAAAATACATTGTGAAGTCCACTACTCAAGCTGTATTTTTTCTAATACACACTATATATATTCAAGAATCAGAAAAAAAAACAATTGATGATTATCTGCTTGAAAAAGATATTAGGAGACATAGAAACGTAATTACATGCAAAAGAGATGTACTAATCACATACTGCCTCCATCTCAAAATATAAGAGATTTTAACAATACTAAAAGAGTGACTAGAATATTAAAAAAAATGCAACGTTATAACTTTTTAGCAAAACTGATCAAAACTAAAGTAAACAGTCAACAATTCAAAAGATATGATGTAGATGCACAAAACAAATCTTACTCTATTGTGCAGTATTTTGGTTGCTCCACGTACGTACAGTTGTTAGAACGAGGAGCTAGCGAATCTAACACACTATCTGGGTCACTATGTTGATTTTGATTTGTTGTTCAGCGACCAGATTAATCAATCATAAGTAAGCCTCAGCAAGTGGAAATATACTATACTGAGTTGCCATATACTAATACCTTTTCGGCAGAGACTCTGAGTGCAGTCTCTATATATCTTAGTGGCAAGTAGCTAGCTAAGTAGCAACGCAATAGGCTATTCCTCCCCTTCTTGTCGGCATAAGTGAGCTCTATAAAGAAAACTCTTCTAGTTCATGTAGTGAATTGGCATGCAGAAGAGTTTGAGGTGAAAGTTTAATTTGATTTAGGGTAATCTAATTAGTAGGGGGGAATATCAAATATTTGTGAATTAATTTGATTCAAGTACTCCTTAAGTCAATCTGAATAACCATTAATGAAGATATCTGTATTTAGGGTGATTTTCTTAGCAGTTCTATTGGTTTTAATCAAGCTGTAATTTGTAATTATTTGTCCTGCAAACTCAGTAATAATTGATCATAGCTTCTCTGAAGTCTAGGCTAGAATATTTTCCATTAATTTAAGGAATACTCCTTAAGTCAATCTAATTCATGTAATATATTTTTGATTCATGTGAGAACATACTCAATCTACAAATGGAAAATCAAAATTAATAAATAGGCTATGAAAAATGCAGTCGATTTCATAATTAGCTTTGTGGGGTTTTTTTTCACATGTAGTCCTAAGTGGTGTTACATCCCCATATAGATTAGCTTTCTTTTTATGGAGGGAGTACGTATGATCTTACATATTTGTAAGCAATTGTAAGTTTGTAACACAACAATCTATTTGTACTTTTACTATTATTATCCAAAGTTGGAAACCATATGCAAAAAGTGAAGCTAGATGTCCTCTGAAGCTTTAAATCCATTTCATCTTTCCCAAATTAAGGTTGAGTTCATCTGGGCTGTACGACTGTGGCTACTGGTGGCTTGAAAAAGGAACAAATCATTCACATATGATTAATTGAGTATTAATTGCTATAGATTTAAAAAATAAATTTATTTGATTTTTTAAAGAAACTTTTATATGCAATTTTTTTTTCACAAATTGCGTTGTTTATAGCTATTTAGGAAACATATGCTAAGGGAAGATGAGGGAGATGCCGTCCCCAACTACCCATACGAACTCAGCCATGTCGCTTCTCAGTTTTGTTTGCCGTTTCTTTTTCTTTTTCTTTTTTTTCCTTTTTAACTATATGTTCAACAATATATAGTGCAGTTCTCAGTGGAATATAATACATTAAGGGCCCCTTTGAATCGCAGGGTAGAAAAAACGGAGGAATAGGAAAAACACAGGATTCTGACAGGAACTAAAGTGTAAAACAGAGGATTGCAAAACACAGAAAAAACACAGGAACGGTCGTTTGATTGGAGCGCAGGAAAAACGCAGGAATCGGATGAGAGAGACAGACTCAAAGGAAATTTTCCAAGAAGTTGGAGCTCTTGTTAAATTTCCTCCAAAATCCACATGCAATGTGCCATTCCATAGAAATTTCATAGGATTTAGAAAGCTTCAATCATTTAAATCAAATGGCCAAATAGGAAAATTTTCTATAGAATTTGAATCCTATAAAATTCCTATATAAATCCTTTGATTTAAAGGGGCCCTAAGAAATGCCACGAGTAGCTCTGAGCAGTACCTACCTAATCAAGTCATGAAGTACTTTGGAGGTGCAAGAGAAGACTTCGAGATCAGATCATTGCTTACGCTTAGACAACTGTCATTTGACAAAGTTACACTTACACCGGTTCCAAATACAATGTACTACATAGTACAAATAGGCAGGTCTGTCATGTGCAGCAGTGCAGGTCCGGCTGGACCGGCTCATTACCTGAAAAATTTCGAAATAATATACCAACACGCATGCATGCAGCATACTGAGAACAAGCTCTTTTTTTCTCCAGCATTATTAACGGTTTACATAAGTCTATATTGATTTCTAGATATTATCTATATTTTTATCCCTTTTGTTTTCACATCTGAGCTAAATGATCATATATGCTTATACTACAAACATAATTATTGGTTATAGAATTAAGGTTGACACATTTGTCCAATAAAATAGGAGAATGCTACGAAACGGTATCCATTCGGATAGGATGATACCTAGAGGTATCGCATGATACATGGGTATCAACCGATACCTATCCGTATCAGGTGACACAGGCGACACCTGGGTATCAGCCGATACCTACCTGGTATCAAGCGATACCTCAAAGGCATCATCCCGTCCGAACGGGGTATTAGCCAATACCTACTAGGTATCAGGCGATACCTTAGATGTACTATCCCGTCCGAACGGGATACCGTTCTGTAGCATTTTTCTTAAAATACAACCTTGGCTCATGCCATTCAACCACCATTTTCTATTATCTGTGGGGCTCTTCAGCAAACAAGGCTGCGGCTGCGCTGCTGCAGCCCGCTGCTTACTGTTCGCGTTGGTTGCCGCAGCCACAGCCTCGGCAGTCAATCAACCCTAGTAAATTTCATCGTCAAAATACTCTGCCTTTAATACATTTTTAGTATGCAAAGATAATAATTAATGGTATCATAAATAGAAAATAGAAAGCATGATATCTCTCAGTACCCTCAGTACCTAGGATCGAAACAACCTAGTTGTAAATATTTACATACTAATTAAGATGAATAGTCGAATAGTAAACAACGCCATACATTTAGAAACGATAGTAAATTTGTAGATACTCAAGGCCTCTTTAGATTTTAACCAAAATAAACCTTACCAAGTTTTGGTAATGCCAAAGTTTTGGTAAGATGGTAATATTGCCAAATTTTTAGCATGATTTCTTATATATTGACCAAATTTAGCAACAAACTAAACGTAGATATTTTTTTAATAATTTTGCTAAAAAAAATGGTATGGTTAAAAATAGAATCAAAGTGAACATGCCATCATATATGTTGCAATAAATGAACACCACCCCTCTTGCTCATTCACAACCAAGGTCATATATATGAGTCTTCACAATCCCATGTCACATGATCATGTGATCTTATGTTCGCAGCCAAGGCCATATTAGTCTTTCTCCCCCCAAAATATTTTTAAAATTAAGAAACACATATCGATCTCCTTTATATAGAGACCAATCCAGAGTGTTCTGGTGGCAAGCATCATTCTAAGAAACAGGAAGCCCCCAGGGTAAAGGGAGGCGGCCGGCAAGCTTGTGCTCCTTCCCACCTGCATCTCCTACTACTCCTCTTCAAGGGAGGCGGCTAGTTTGTGCTCCTTCCCACCTGCCACCTTCTTCATCTCCTACCTCGTCCTACTCCTATCACATCATACCACACAGCAATGGGGAGGTCTCCTTGCTGCGACGAGAACGGCCTCAAGAAGGGCCCCTGGACCACGGAGGAAGATGAGAAGCTCATGGAGTACATCCAGAAGAACGGCCATGGCAGCTGGAGAGCGCTGCCTAAGCTTGCAGGTATGTGTACATGCACAACGGATGGCGTACGTAGCTTTGATCTTGTAGCTAGCATCGATCCAAATGCAGCTATAGCTCGATGGCCATGGCGTTGAGTTTTCCTTTTTTTTACATGTTGCAGGGCTGAACAGGTGTGGCAAGAGCTGCAGGCTAAGATGGACGAACTACCTGAGGCCAGACATCAAGAGAGGAAAGTTCACCTCTGCCGAGAAGGATACCATCCTCCAGCTTCACGCCGTTCTTGGCAACAAGTACGTACTGCAGTGCACTGCACCTCCTCATCAAATCCATAGCATAAATATGCTTTTCTTGCATCCATCAACTGGTTCATATTTGCATCTAATCCTCAGGAATCGACCATGCTTGGCAATTGGCATGCAGTTCAGTGATACGCTAGCTGATACTGACTGCTGCTAGCTAGATAGCTAGCTCAATCCTGCTAGCTGTTTGATATTCTAATTTCTAAGTAAGCTGTTGCTGTCATGATCAAACCTGCAGGTGGTCAGCCATTGCCAAGCACCTCCCAGGTAGGACTGACAACGAGATCAAGAACTACTGGAACACACACCTGAAGAAGGATCTGATCCAGAAGGGCATCGACCCGACGACGCACCGGCCGAGGACCGACTTCTTCGCCGCGCTGCCGCAGCTGATCGCGCTCGCCAACCTCCGCCAGCTCGTGGGCCAGCTGCCGTGGGACGACCCCGCCGCCGCGGCCGCCGGGCTGCAGCAAGCCGAGGCGGCCCAGGCAGCGAAGTTCGGACAGTACCTGCACCTGCAGGCGCTGCTCCAGCCTCCGCCGCCGTCCGCCGCGACTAGCCCCAGATCAGGCTGCATCGGCGGCGCCGCCGCCGCCATGCCGGGCGGCGACATGGAGCAGATGGGCGCGGGACTGCTTAGCCCGCCGGCGATGTCGTCCGCGGCCTTGTCGCCGATGTCGACGTCGTCCTTGTCGCCGCTGCCTTCGCCGATGTCGTCCACGGCCTTGTCCCCGTTGCCTCCTTCGAGCTTCTTTGGCAATGGTGGCCAAGGCTCATTCCTCGCTGGACAATTGCCTAACATCCAAATGCATGGCAGCTCGTTGTTCGACCAGTCGGCCGCCATCATCAACGACGCCAACCACAACCAAGATTACGCTGCAAGCACTGGCGAGAGGGAGATCATCAATGGCGCCACGAAGACGACGACGACGACGCTGCTGCCGGAAGGCTCTCTTCCGCCGCTCGCCGACTACCCCACCATCTCCAACCTCGGTGATGTCTACAGCACCCCAAGCTGCGATGGCAACATCACTGAATTCCCTCTCTTGCCTGACGCCTTATTCGACGAGTTGATGAGAGACTATGTATCTCCTTCTTCCTCTTTTTAGCTGGCCTTTGCATGAGCTTAGCTCTGGTTTGAACTGTTTGTGTTAATCTTCAGTTTGATTTTTCTAGTTAAGAGTTTTTCTTCTTCTTTTTTTGCAACATACTTTATAGTGTGATTTTCACTTTAGTGCATGGTTCCAGTTGGAATTTTTTTAGTGCTATATAGTTTTTGGCATATGCATTGGTTATTCATAGACATCAATGTAATGCAGGGTCCTAAGCATATACGGCATATGCTGAACTTGTACAGATTTTCCAAGCTTGAATTATTCCTGTTTTCTTGTTTTTGCAGATTTCCAATTGCTTTCTGGAAGATTGGAAAGTAACCCTGCTCACTAACATGTAAATATTAATGACATGGTATCGATATAATGCCATAAGAATGGTCGGCATGCCTGCAGTATGCAAGTATATAAAACGGATGTTTGCATGGACGCTAATAATCATTTATAAATCATCTAGAAAAACTATTTCTAGATTCTCAACTGCGCCCATAGAGTTCATTTCTTTTTCAAAAGAGGGCCAGAACAGTGGAACTTAAAAAATTTTCACTGAACTATCATGTTCCAGAATACAGACTCTAAGAATTTAGATGTATCTGATATATTACAGGTAAGCAGGAATAGATAAGCTTTGTGATATTTTTCAAAACAAAAGCGTGTGCGCTCTATGCAACTTGCAAATGATTTCTTGAGGAAATGCAATGGGTATGAGGTGATCCACAATAAAAGAAACCTTCTTCACGCTACTATTGGCAGTCCCAGATATGGAGAAGAAACTTGTCTTCTCAGGCAGTTATAGGAAGTTGACTAAAATTTGTTGAGCCAAAAGAGCGACAGAAGGCGAGAGTAGCAATGATAGGAAGGATCCAAACACCTCAAAACATGTGGTGCTGTCACTGTCAATATTTAACAATACTAATCATGCATATGAACCATCATCTCTGTGGACACACTGCTAGTGTTTTTCCTTAATCAGTTGTCACCATGTCCTTGTCGTAGATCAAGCATTTAAACTGTTCATAGATTAGTTCTCTTTTAAAATGCCGTGCTTTCTTGTGAGCAGGTAAGGGTTGATGCCTTTTCCTCCAAGATATTGACGGCTAACATTAATCAACTCAATTTTGAGTCCAACAATAACAGCACAGCTTTATATGACACTGACAAGTGTCCACTTTCAGATTTGTTTATGTAAGATCACTGCTTGAGCGTCCTATACATAAAAGGTGTGAATAGAGTGTGCAGCCAAGAATATTTGGAACTAGGATGCAAGGTAGTACCACCTAATTTACGATCATATATAGGTTGGATATTGCAGTAAACTTATTTATGCTATTGCAATAATAAATAATAATGAACAGCGATAGATATTTGAAATTCATGTTCAAATAAAAAGAACATTTTGAAAGGTCTAGCTAAATAATTGATCAATCCGGCCTACAGTCTCGATGCCTGATGAAATATCACTTCTCTTGTGAGTTCAATCAAAAGATCATGTTTTAAATGCAAGTGGTTTTGTTAATAGTAACCTTTACTGATGTTATCATAAGGTCTTCTTTTTTAATGGAGTTATCACAAGGTCTTACCAAATTAAATAAAATAATTGCTAAATGTAACAGTAGTCTTGCAACAGTGTCTCATTTTAATCCTGTGTGATACAAGCAATTCTGGAAAAAAGAAGTTGAATAGAAGACAAGTAGTCTATCCATCCTAGTCAGGGCGCACAATGCTTCAATATATATTTGAAGCAGTCCAGCTGAGTAAGTCTTCATACAACCTTCATGCTTGATAAAATATCACCTCTCTTGTGAATTTAATCACAAGATATATCTTTACATGCAAATGGTTTTGTTCATAGTAATCTTTGCTGATTACCATCAAGTATTACTGTTTTAAACTGTAATGTCATTTGAATGTATTGTGATAGAAGCAATTTCTTAGTTTACCTGCATTTTGTTGGTTGGGAATCTGGGGGCACGCTATCAAATATATAACAGGAAAATGACTAAAAACTAATGCTAACCAGTAGAGTTTTGCATGGCTTTAGCAACTTTCAACAGCATTGGGCATTTCTGTTACTAGGATCCAGAGTCCCAGAGTGCTCTCTAGGAAGTAAGCACCAACAAAATTTTGCTTCTTTGTGTTACACTTGACGAAAAAAGATAGCATTTCATTTGTACCAGCCAGCAGGTAATGGAGCTTTCTAGTATGTTATTCATTTAAAAATCGACCAGCTCTTAACGTGCCCTACTTTGACCATGCAGTATCACTAAAACTAAATGAATTATATGCGATACGATGGACAGTGTGTAGATCATAGAATACAAAATGAAATTCATCCTGAAGATTTTAAACCACAACTAGTCCGTGCGAAACAAATCTAATTTGGGTAATTGAATGCACCACCCTATTCAAGGCATGAAAAACACTGGACAAACTGAACTAGTGGAAATCTTGTTCTTGCTATAGATTCAAGTTGCAGTTAAGATTTTGCCATTAGCTTCTCTCAGTGGCATTGGGCCTGAACCACACCTGTCAGTGAGAGAGTCAGCGGCTCAGTGCCAAAAGGCATAACAAAGACAAGGCATGGCGTTTGAAATAAAATTGCTGCAATTAACTGGGGCTGATATCCTCTTCATTTCATTTCTTATCTACCCAACCAAATTATCAGCAACATCACTTCGACCTTGATGACTTGAGACTTTCAACAAAAGAATTGCATGGATGCTATTTCCACTTGTTGGCATTTATCTTCAAACAATCACCAACTCAGTACTCTGCTCACTAAACAATTAGCTAAAAAAAGAGGAAGACAATAGTTGACTAAAAGATTACCTTGTGAGTGAAGCCTCTCTACATCTCAAGTTAAGATCTGTTGAAGAGATCAGAATAACAAGTTTTGGCTGAAGGGCCAAGCCACCTGGGCTTGCTTATGAAACTGATGATGGATCTAGGATGGCTCCCTAGCTCTGTGCAGAGATACCTGCAGCATACTCTAAAGCTAGAGTAGAAGGGGAAAGCCCAACATGCTTTAGGACAGTCTAACAGAGCTAGTTTAAGCATAAATCAGTGTTGAACAATAACATAAATCTAGGTGACCGACACAACAAGCCACAAGAACGTGGGCTTGGAGACAGTTGTACAGTTTTGAAACGTTTGATAAAACAGTGAACTTGAGTTTGGAGCAAAGCAGGGCACCAAAATTCCAAGCGAACTATTATAGACATGGCCTAATTCTCTTGTTTTTGTTACTCCGTATTCCAGAGACACTTCTTTAGAACTCTGCATATCTGCCTCTTATAGTATGTACGTACCCACAACTTTGTGACAGGTGAATTTGAATAGGCAGTTTGAGTTTCAACAAGTGTATAGCATACACTCGTTAAGCACAGTTTCATATATCAGTAATATAAGTGCATATATGGACAACACATTTTGAATAAACTGAAATTTACACAAATGGAATTGGTAATAGAACTTTTGGTTTTGACAGCAAGGACTTGGAAATCAGTTAATGTGAATTACATATCAATCCATTATAAGGAATGAAACCACAGGGAGAAAGAAACCTTCCTTCAAGACATGCATGAAATGACTTCTACAGACTGTCTGCTTTTGTGGCTCTCTATTCCTCCTTGTTCTCCCTTAGAGATGGTGGTGGTCTAACCACGATGCTTTGCTTCCATTTCCTGTCAAGCTTCCTAGACAATCTCTTGTTGATTCCTTGTTCAATTTCCCGTTCTCTTTTGACAGTCAGCATACGAGCAATCTGATGCGAAGATGACAACCCAAGTCAATGCTAAATTTAGATAGTAGAAAGCTGCTATTGAAGCAAGATGAGCAGGGTGAGAAAAACAACAGGAAAAAAAAATCTGATATCCTCCTCCTAAAAGGCAAGAAGCATTGATCGAGGCAGATATAAGTATGCATTACTCTGCTGCTAACTATTTGTCCTGTGCTGTCCCTGAGCAGAGGTGGAGACCTGAACTCCAAAGCAAGTGATAATTCATAACAATTGACTTATCAGAAGCCCTCAAGAAGAACAAGGTATCACATAACTGACCGTAGAATTAGTTCTTGTGTACTATCTGCATTTTGACGTCCTCAGAACAAAGTTTTGTTCCATTTTAAATTTTGGTCCACTGAAGGTTAATTTAACACTACTTTCCCAAGAACAGTATAAAAGCTCTTCAGATACACATTGCATTGCAATATCATTCTTCATGTAGTACTCTATGCACTAAAATCCAATAAACAATACTACAAACCCAAAGTAGATACTATGTAAGAATACGTAAATGGATGTCAGCATGACTTTCTAATCAAATTAAGTAAAAAAAAATTGCTTCTGAGACTGAAATTGTCCAAGCATTAACCCAAATCATCTGTAAATTCAGTATGGGCCAATATGCAACTGATAAAAATCAGGCAAAATTCCACCAACAAATTGGTAAGTTATTCCACTATTCTGAACCTGAAATCAACTCAATATATCTGAACATAATCAACTCAGTACTAGAGGTTGAACAAAAGGGCCTTGTAAACAGAACACACTGAGCAGAACATGCGACCACTCCACACCCATTTGGAAGTAGAAGGTGGAATTTCCACTCGTAGGTTGAACGCATTTTGGCCAGGAGTAAATGCTAAACTTTCGCAATGGAATTAGCAGTTGTGGTATATCTGTACCCCATGGAGTAAGAGACATACCCTCTTGCGCATGCGGCCGAACTCGCTGGATTTGAACTCCTGGCGCGCGGAGCGCTTGAGGCGGAGCATGAAGAGCTCCCCCTTCAGGTCCACCACTTCCTCCTCGATCTTCTCCGTCGGCATGGCCCGAATCTCCTCCAGCTCCTGCTCCCTCTTCGCCATCCTGGCCACGGCCGCGTCGCCCCTCCCCGCTGGCAGCCGCGGCGGCGCCGCCGCCGCCGCCAGTCCCGGGAACGGCGCCAGCGACGCCCCTCCGGTCAGGAGGCCGAGGAAGGCCGTGCGGGGAGTGGAGACGGCGAGCCCACGGGGAGTCGAGGCGAGGGGGGACGCCGCGGCGAGGGACATCGTCGCCATCTTTTGCGCTGCGCTCGCGTCTGCGCTCTCTGCCGGTCGGGGTTCGTGGATAAGGGGGTTTATCTGGTCATGTTGATTAGCCACTCGGGGCACGAATCTTCAAGCATTATCGGACGGCTTTCACTTGCTTAATATGCATGTCACATCTCTAAATATCGAAATCTACGCGGATTCGCGTGCAAATAACCCCTCCACGTGGCGCTGCACGATTCCAGCTTTCGTCTCCCTCT